TTCTTTTCTGCTTCAGTATCAGTAATCTGTCTTAACTACTTTTATAATATCATCATTGCTACTCACAACACTGATTTTTTTTTAAATACAGGAAATTATAATAAGATCATCCATAATCCCATGACCTTAAGAATACCACTGTTAATGGGTTAATATGTATTTTTACTTTTCTCTGATTGACTTGTAAGCTGCATGGGTTTATGTAATTAACTATTTTAACTTGTTTTGGCATAAACAATAAGTAAATTCAGAGAGTGAATAAATTGATGAAATTTGCTAAAGGCATTCACAGAGGAGTTAAAAAAATCAAAACTAAATGAAACGGAAATGACTTTTATTTCCAACAACTGCATTCTCTCAGAAGTTTCACATGAATACTTTAAGTTTGGAAAAAGAGATGCCAAGCATAATAATCATCATCGAATCAGGGCGCCTGGGTGGCTTAGTTGGTTAAGTGTCCGACTTTCGCTTAGGTCATGATCTCGCGGTTCGTAGGTTCGAGCCCCGTGTCGGGCTCTGTGCTGACTGCCAGCTCAGAGCCTGGAGCCTGTTTCAGATTCTGTGTCTCCCTCTCTCTCTGAGCCTCCCTTGCTCATGCTGTCTGTATGTCTCTCTCTCAGAAATAAAAAAAAAATCATCATCATCACCATCATCGAATCATTGTAAGAATAGGATCATGTGACTAGGATTATGGAGGAAAAAAAACAACTGGAACTATACATGCCTCTACTTCACTTCTCAATTAGATATGTACTCATCAGGCAGATCTGGTTAAACAATGAAGTCCCTGTTTGGAAAGCAAAACTAGCTGTTTCTCATTAAAAAGTTGTCTACAACTCTTATGATAACGTTTAAAATATTTCTGGTTTACGTGGAGGTAAATTTTTAAAATTCTGTATAGCAAAGACAGAAAACACCTGTATCTGTAAGCATGTTTCCATTTATATAAATTCAATCTAAAACACTGTCCTTTATCTATAAGGCTGAGACCAGAAACACCCCTTCTCATCACCACTACTAAACATTTCCCTAACATTTCCTCTTGGTAACTAGTTAAGATATCAGCACTGCCTAGAACATTGACAATTATCTCCAATTCTCATTTTATATAAAATGTCAAAGGATCTCTAAGTGGTGACAAAGGACAAACAGTAAATGGAGTAGAGAGGGAAAAGTGGTAAAAGAAACACTGCACTAAATCTACCTGCTAATCTCTACCATTCTATCTACTATGGCCACCAACCCCAAGCCTACTCATCCCATCAACAAACTAGTCTTTACCATTCTATCCACTACCCCCACCCCCAAACCCCAAGCCTGCTCATCCCATCAACAAGTATCAGTTAGGGACGCCTGGGTGGCTCAATTGGTTAAGCGTCCAACTTTAGCTCAGGTCATGATCTCACGGTTTGTGGGTTCGAGCCCCGCGTTGGGCTCTGTGCTAACAGCTCAGAGCCTGGAGCCTGTTTCAGACTCTGTATCTCCCCCCTCTCTGACCCTCCCCTGCTCATGCTGTCTCTCTTTCCCCCTTTCAGAAATAAATAAAATATTTAAAAACAAAACAAACAAACAAACAAAAACAACAAGTATCAGTTAGACAAATGGATTGGGAAGGATGGAGAGAAATTTTCTACCACAACAGGAAAATCTTACTTTCATTGTTATTCCTGCTTCATTTTCAATACCTGTATCAGGTATAAGGGAAGGGAAAACTACATTATCCAACCCTACACTCCTTATCCAGTGCTCACTCCTGTCCTTACTATCCTGTGAATGTTTTGCCTCCTTCTTCATTCTACCCCAACTTATTTCCTTCCCTGACATATCTCCCCCTAAAACCCATACATCATAGTCCCAACTCAGCTAATCATACCCATCCCATGGATTAGTCTATTGCCATCAATTGACATCTTTTTACCTAACACAGATTCTAAGGCTACTTCCTGCATCCCATTTTCCCTCCTATTCCACCAATATTAGGTGTGCAACTGGGAAGAAAAAACTATTATTCCCATAAAATATATACAATGCTAATGATAAACTATCAAAGTTCAAGCAAGTTGTTTCAGTATTTTTGGGATTTGGCACATTCATGTGTAAAAAGAAGGAACTAGTTTAAATATCTACTCCAAAATCTGGCTGACAAATTTCCAGGTCTCAGTAATAAGGACTGTGTGACTATATATCCAAGATGAAGACAGGAATTTTCTTTTTTTATTTATTTATTAATTTTTTTTTACAAATAGTTTATTGTCAAATTAGTTTCTACATAACACTCAGTGCTCATCCCCACAAGTGCCCTCCTCCATGCCCATCCCCCCCTCCCCCCCACATCCATCAGTCCTCAGTTTTTGTCAGCATTCAAGAGTCTCTCATGGTTTGCCTCTCTCCCTTTCCCCCACCATTTCCACCCTTCTTCTCCCCCTTGTTCCTCCGTCAAGTTCCTCCTAATCCTCCTATACGTGCAAACATATATTTGTCCTTCTCTGCCTGAGAAGACAGGAATTTTCTAAAAGGCACTCAGATGAGTTTACTAATCAGTCATTTTTGGGAATCAACAATAAATGCTCAAGTTCCTTTTAGTCTAACATTCCAATATTCTAAGCTAGAATTATCCTTGCATTTTCTGATAGGAATATTGTTATGAAAGGAGTACAGCTTCCATAGTTATTGGTATTACAGTTAACTGATTATATAGGACTTTGTAACCTAGTCCTAATATCTAAGCACCATTTAAATTATTATTTCATTACCACAGGTGACTTGCAAATCAACTTGTAAAATATGTTTGCAGACTGTGGACCACCAGTATTGTAACAATACTAAAACCTCAAAGGAAAACACTAAAAATTGTTTCCTTGGGATTATATGCATAATGAGACTTTTCCACAGATGTCCTTTTCACAGATTTTTGTCCAATCACAACTAAGATTTGACCTACATGTCAGAAATTAAAGTAGAAAGGGTATGCTCATTAGGATCTTTTACTTTGCTAGCTCACTGATGGGGCTTTGTCTGTCACTGGACTAAAGCCTAGAGAAATCTAGATCACTAATGGAATTCAGGGCATTAAAATACCTAAAGAACAGTCTCACTCAAATATTTACAGCCTATCAGAACTTCACCTGCCTAGAAGCACACTAGATCATTCATTTATGAACTACATGTATCTATTCTAGCTCTGGTAACTTCCAACAACCAATTCTCATTATGAACAAATGTTCCCTTGGTTAATATTCAAGTTTAAAGACATGTTTCAACATGTGGGAACTAATCAAGTATAAACAGCACTTCAAGACATGATGACAAATTAGTAGTGTATTGATTTAAGTGGAGCCTATTTACTTATGAATAAATGAATAATATAAAAAGGTAAAAATGTAAACAATTATATTCTAGTCCTTTTTTCTTTAAAAAGATATATCTGCTTAAAGTCATACAAAATAGCATGATAAAGTGTGTCCATTTATTTCATTTCTCCAGTGGATTTTTCCAATCTACAATGAATGCCATTATGTAAGTGCATTCTCTAAAATCAAGAATGATGCAATAGTTGCCATGACAACTACTCATTTTATTGAATAAATTGTGGGTTGGGGGTTAAAATATTCTTTTAAAAAACAAATTTCAACCTCTTAACTACACCTGATAAATCTCTTTCTATTGCTAGATATTAAACAATAACTATAGGCCATCTTTGAGAATGACTATTTAAGCAGCTATTTAAAAAGCTAGGCTTGAGTTGCCAAGGGAGGAAAACTTTGAATTTAAAGTTTGAAAAATGAAACACATAAGCTACAAAGGAACAAAAGACACTTCTTTTTAATCTTCTAAAGTAACTGAAGTGTTTGTAAATCAGAAGTAACATGATGTTACATGCCTGTTCCTTCACTGTCATAATTTTGCAACTAATCCTAAATTTAAAGAAGTATAAAACACCATAAGACCGCAGGCTTCTCAGTTTGCAAGTAAGCTAAAGTGAGAGCAAGTAGGTTATCCCTCATTTTGATACTCAGAAGAAATTTCTCTTGGGCGTGTGAAAAAACAGAATTTTTAATGTCGGTCTTATAAAATAGCTCTGCTAAAAAGCCTATATTTAAAAGCACCAAGGCTAACCGTACACCCCAACTATAAACAACCCTCAGGCAGAAGCAAAAGCTATTAAAGGCTTCTGTTGCTTAAGATCTTCCATAGGGATAGGTCCCCAGCGATGGCCAGCTTCACTGACATCTGTGTCCTTAGGAGGCTTGGTGGTTACATAGACTATTCAAAGCTAAATAGTATTTTGAGAACCTGCCCCAGATCTCTTCCTACTTCACCGAAATAAACACTTAAAGATCAAGCTTTTGAAGAATGGCGGGAGCGGAGGGGGGGGTCGGGGGGGTGCTGAGGGGATGGCTCCCCTCCCCCTTTTAACAAGGCGAAGTCCAGTCAGCTAGAAGGCCTGCTGACTTCGCAGCCCTGGAAACCAATGCGAGGAAGCTCCCTCGTCGCCTGGCTAAAAACATAGGAAAGGGGTCTTTGGGGGGCAGCAAATCAAACAGGCTGGTCAAGCGCGAGGGTGCGAGTGGCAATTCAGGCTTTTTTCAGTCTCTCTTCACAAATGGATTTTTACCTGTCTTCGTGTTTACGTTCACCTCTCCCGTGCCTAGCGACCACCACCTCTTCTGGGAGGGTGTGCGTGTTTGTGTGTGTAATGACAACAACCTCAGCACCCCGACTGGGGGCAGGGGATTGGAAGGGGTGGGGATTCAGTTCCTGCACAGCCCTGGAACTCTCCTGAAGGGCCCTAGAAGAAAAGGGGGCGGGAGGAGCGCGCCAGACGCCACTGAGGACTCGACCGAGAAGGGGGCGTCCGGGCCTCGGAGAGCGGCACTGGCAGGGGCTGACGTGCGGCTCCTTCAGGTTGTAATGGTGGCCCCTTGGGGGAGGGGATAGGTGACAAGGGGCTGGGGGCGACGAGGCCTCCCCCTCCCCCCTCGCTCAAGCTCGCTGTTTACCTTCCCGGTACTTCTTTCGTAGCCGCCGGTGGACGCTCTTCACCACCCCGGAGAGCTTCTCTTGCTCCAGCTTCCGCTCCTGCTCCCGGGGCGGCGGAGTGCTCGGGGGTCCGGCCCTGTGCCTGCCAGCACTGCTTCGGCCGCCTGCCTCCGGCTCCATATCGCTGCCGCTGCTGCCGCCGCCGCCCCTCGGGCCCCCGCAGACGCCCGCCTGATGGAGGAGGTGGGGAAGGAGGAGGCAGCAGCGGAGGCAGCAGCCGGAGGAGGCAGAGGAGCCGAAGCGTAGGCCTCGGAGGTGGCCCCTTACCCAAACGCACAAGCTGATTGGTGGACTGTGGAGGGCTGGGCGGAAACGGAAAAAGCCAAGGGCCAATTGATGGAGAGCGCCGGCGGCTCACCCGGTTGTTTGGGACCGCGAGCAGCTGGAGGAGGCGGGGCTCGTGAGCTAAGGGGAGCCGAGGCGGTGGGAGCGCGGGGCGCAAAAGCTCCTCTCTGCTCCCCGCACCTCGCGGGATTCTGTGCGCAGGCGCTCTGAGCCACGCGCTTGCGCGTCTGGATTACATTGGTTGCTTGGTTTGGATTACATTCTGCTGGCTAGGGTTCTCAGGTCTTGTAGCTGTTCCATCGCCTGTGAATTATGTTATAGTGCGAAGCGGTTAGGGTCCTCTACTTGAACCCCTGCTGTACTTTGTCCTTTGTAGGTTCTCTTTAGGTCTGAGAAGTGCTTTTGAGATGACTCGACCGCACAGGAATTTTACACTTCGAGGCACCCAACCAGAGATGCTTTCATTCGCACGAGAAGTCTACCAAGTGGCGACTTGATTCATGGGCCGGCAGTACTTAATGCCTCTAGTGCCAGAGCTGGGCGAAGGACATAGAAAATGAGGAAAGGAGAAGGCCAAGAAAATAGACGATGATAGAGGAAAGGGAGGAAAAATGGAGAACCCACAGCACATGCCCTCAAGAACCTCTGGGGGCCCGGGTGTCACAGGAAGCCTGCCCTGATTTGCATCAGAACTGAGTGCTTTTAAAACTGGCTTGGGTGTTTCATGTCCTTTAATTGGGTGGGTTAGGGGCGCCTGGGTGGCTCAGTCGGTTGAGCGTCCTACTTCAGCTCGGGTCAGATCTCAAGGTTCGTGGGTTCGAGCCCCACATCAGGCTCTGTGCTGACAGCTCAGAGCCTGGAGCCTGTTTCGGGTTCTGTGTCTCCCTTAATCTCTGCCCCTTCCCCACTCATGCTCTGTCTCTCTCTCTGTCTCAAAAATAAATAAACTATTAAAAAATTTTAGTTGGGGGGCGCCTGGGTGGCTTAGTCGGTTAAGCGTCCGACTTTCGCTCAGGTCATGATCTCGCGGTTCGTGGGTTTGGGCCCCGCGTCGGGCTCTGTGCTGACTGCCAGCTCGGAGCCTGGAGCCTGTTTCAGTCTGTGACTCCCTCTCTCTCTGACCCTCCCCTGCTCACACTGTCTCTCTCTCTCTCTCCTAGAAATAAATAAAACATTAAAAAAAATTTTTTTTAGTTGGGTGGGTTAGTCTGTGCAGAGTATGCCTAAGTGGGTTTGGCAACCTATACCTTCATAGGGAGTGTGGTTTAGGATTTCTGTCCCAGGAAGCCGAAATAGTGCTTTCCAGGGAGAGGTAGACTGTATTAGTTCTCAAGGTGGTACTGAGGCTGTGGCTCAACAGGCTGAGAGCTCTTAATGAATTGTGTTAGGTTGTAGGGTACCCCCGAACTGCAGTTGTTGGTTACATGATGTTTGTTGTAAATTGTTGCAAACACTTTTTTCTTAAATTTTTTTTAATGTTTTATTTATTTCTAGGAGAGAGAGAAAGACAGTGTGAGCAGGGGAGCGCCAGAGAGAGAGGGAGTCACAGCCTCTGAAACAGGGTCCAGGCTCTGAGCTGGCAGTCAGCACAGAGCCTGATGTGGGGCTCGAACCCACGAACCGCGAGATCATGACCTAAGCGAAAGTCGGACGCTTAACCGACTAAAGCCACCCAGGCGCCCCGCAAACACTTTTTGACCAGTGATTTTACGAATACAAATAAAGCTTGCATTATGTAACTTTCATATGCCACCTCTGAATAATGAACCTGAAGAGCAAAGCATTGTACACATGCTCCAGAACATAGGAAGGACAGCAAGTGGGTAAATGAGCGGAGAAGATTGGTGGAATATAAAGACGGAAGGTGTGTCCCTACCTGCACAGTGAAGGTGCAGATCAAATACAGATGAACTTAAAAACAATCAAATATAATTATGAAATTGCACACACATGCTTAATAACTTGAGAATATGGTGGTCTTATCTGAAGGGTTTTCCTTTGGGAATAAAGGGAAGCTTTATATTTTAATCTATATAGGAGACAAAAAGGTGCAAATATTTGGAAGTTACAACCATAGTAAAGAGGGCATTAAATTTCATTTGTACTAAACTGTACTTAAAAAACAAGCTCTCCTCCCTGCTACTACTAGCAAATGAATTTTAAGGTCCTTTTTGAAAGTAAAGATGTACACTGAAGGGTGTTTGGAAAACACAGAAGGGAGTAAAGTAAAATTGCTAAGAGAAAAGATCTCAAATGTTCTAAACACAAAGAAGAAATGGTCACTATGTAATGGGTTGGAAATAGTAGCTGATTTGGTAGTGATAATCATTTGCAATTTATAAACATATCAAGTCAACATCTGTACACCTTATACTTACACAATGTTACGTGTCAATTATCTCTCAATAAAGCTAGGGGGAGAGGAGTAAAAATCACCTGGAAACATATCACTGAGAGATATAACAACATAGACGTAAGGTAATTTATTATATGAATAGCCTCTCACTTAAGTAAGCAATTATAAGCTATAATATATTTATATTTCTTTTTCTATGTTCCTAATAATGCTGTGATGAACACCTTTGTACACAAATGTTTGTCCATTTCTTTAATTATGCATTTCACTAGGCTAAATTTCTAAAAAAATTTTGAATCAAAGGGTCAAATATGTTGAAGTTTTTAATGTATATTGTCAAATCGCCTTTTCTTAAAGGGAGTAGAAGTTTATTGTCACTGCCAACAGTATAAACATATGTTTATTTCACTGTACCCTTATGAGATATAAGTATTACAATTTATAATATCATTAATGAGACTTTTTAAAGGAACATGTGGGACTTTTATGCTGTTTTTTTTTTTATCTAGCTATTCGGGTTAGCAAATATTAACATTAAATATTAATATAAGAGCAAGTAAAAAGAACTTACTTAAGACTCTTCAATTGTCATTTTTTAAGCATAGAGCTCCATGTTTTAAGTTTGTTTTTGGTTTCATGCTTTTTTTTTAAATGTTTATTTGCTTTTGAGAAAGAGAAAGAGAGAGAGAGAGAGAGAGAGAGAAGGGGTGGGGCTGAGAGAGAAGGAGACAGAATCTGAAGCAGGCTCCAGGCTCTGAGCTGTCAGCACAGAGCCTAACTCGGGCTCAAACCCACAAACCATGAGATCATGACCTGAGCTGAAGTCCAGCACTTAACTGACTGAGCCACCCAGGCACTCCAGTTTGATGTTTTCTTGAGAAGCAACTCAAGAAATAGGAATTGGAAAGCTGGATTTTATTCTGAATTTTCATGAATTCAAATAGGGCAAAGGCCAATATGACCAATACTGACTTTTCTTAGGAGGACTAGCCACAGTGTATAAAAGGAAGTTGAAAACTTTCCTCTGGTACGATCAGTAATATTGGAAAAAGTTTTCTATCTGTTAATATAGCAGAAGGATACTAATGGGATTTTCCATTTAAATAAAATATCTGTTCTAATTGCTGGTAAAAGGGATTCTTTGCAGGAAGTATGTTTGGTGCTATACTCAACAAGGATATCCTATGTGCAGGAAAATATCAGCACCCTTCCTTCCCATATGATGACAGGATTTCACTTACTATAAATATCTTATTTTTTAAATTCTCTCATTGTTACTTTTTAAAATGCTTTCTTATTTTTGAGAGAGAGAGAATGTGCACATGTGCGAGGGAGGAAGGGGCAGAGAGAGCAGGAGAGGGAATATCAAGCAGGCTCCACACTCAGTGCAAGGCCTGAGGCACTGAACTGAGCAGAAATCAAGAGTCTGCTTAACTGACTGAACCACCCAGGTACCCCTCTCATGATTATTTTAAATGACTGTTGGAAAAGGGGATGTTGGAATAAAACAGTATTCACTGAGCAGGACAAACCAGTCTGGGAGGGAGAGGCATTTCTAATTACTGCAATAACCCCCTAATAACTAAATTTCTCATCCTCATTTTTAGCTTTACCAGACCAACTTTTGCACTCTTACCCATGCACACTTGGTGTGTCATAAGCTTCCTATGTCAAAGAACAGCTCAGTATAGGAAAAATGTCTTTGGCAAGAAAACTACCTGTCTTCATTGTTTGCAGTTATATTCTTTATAAGGGAAACAAATTCCCATAGACAGTAGAGTCCACATGTACAAATGCATTCTATTTTCAGTGAGAATTAAAACAATATTAACTGGTAATGAAAAGTAAAATTTTAAAATCCATTTCAAAATCTGGGTGGTGGCCCCAAGTTACTGAATAAAAGATTCTGGGTACTTTTGCATAAGTGTAGTTTTCATTATTTATTGAATATTCCTGTAGGTGGGAGAAAACTATCCAGAAGAAATTGAGAGTCTCTGAATTATCTAAAGTATTGCTCATTTATTTTTATTCTGTACCCAGTTATTATTTATTCCTCTTTGACCTTCTTTATTATCAAAATCTTAAAAAACAATTAGGTTTTATTTTTCCAGTCTTCATTTTAACTGAATTTCAAAAAATTCTATTCCTAGGGGCACATGGGTGGTTCATTGGGTTGAGCATCTGACTCTTGATTTCAGCTCAGATCATAATCCTAAAATTGTGGGATTGAGCCCAGTGTTGATCCATACTCAGCCTAGAGGCTGTTTAAGATTCTCTCTCTCTCCCTCTACCCCTTTCTTCTGCTTGCATTCCCCCTCTCTTTAAAATAAAAAAAAAATATATAAATTTAAATAAAAACTAAAAATTCTATTTCTAAATAGCCATGGGCCAAAGATTTGATCAGGTTGGGATGTATCTCTATCTTCCAAAAAGATACATCAAGTCTCTTTGCACTATTCGTGTATACCATTGTACATTTATAAATGTTAGTTTAATAGTAATACCTCTATTAATTAAGATAATAGTGGAGAACTAGCAAG